ACTCCCAGGATCACTGAGACTCAACCCAAGAAGCAATGTCCATGTCTTCTTATGACCTCAAAGCATTCACAGAGAAGGGACTTGGCACTTTGTCAGTCACTGCACTTGAGCTGCTGTGGGGTGTTGAGCCTTAATTCAGGCTCTGCCAACATTTACAGTTACTCTACCGGCCGGAACTGTCTGTGAGGGTGGACTTATCCTACTTCTCTGCTACACACACAGTAGCCGCAGGCCCTGTGTGCTGATTTGACACTGTCAGAGCATAGCTACAGGACTATAAAGAGAGAAGTCACTTGAGTCCTCCTCTCACTCAAGATGAAACTCCTTCTGCTGGTCACTCTCCTCACAGGTAGGATTCTTGTCTCCTCTGAGTGCCTCACCATCTCCCTTGTCTTAAATGCACAGACCCTGTCTTGTCACTCCTGAAGTTCTGGTTTTGGGTTCTCATTGGGGTCTATTAGCACTGGTTTGGTGTTCCCTGCTCACCCCATGTCCTCAACAGCTGGCACTTCTAGTCTGTATGTCTGAACTCAGATGATCCCTTAGAAGAATCCACTACATGCATCTTCACATGAAAAGAAAGACCCTCCATCTCTGGCATGTTGCCCTGGCATTCATCTCCCTGGCTCTAAGATGCCATGGCATTTTTATTTTTCTCATCCTTTAAAAAAGTATTTACACTTACTTAATGTGTATTTCTGTCTGTCAACTGTGTGAGCAGTGACTACAGAGGACAGAAGAAGGTCTGCTCCTACAGAATTGGGGTCACAGACAGTTGTGAGCTGCCATGTGGGTGCTGGGACCAAGCCTGGGTCCACCACAAGGTCAGAAAGTGCCATCTCTTTACCCATTATTATAACTTTATATGGCATTATTGTGTGGCTCTGGATGTCCTCCAACTCAAATTATTGCATAGACTTGAAACCTTCCTGCCCCAACTTCCCAAATGTTCAGATTACATACATGCCTTTCTTTTTTCTTATTTTTCCCCTGAAAGCCATGGGGTCTTAGAACTCACTCTATAGACTGGGCTGACGTTCAACTCAAATATCTACCTGTTCTGTGTCCAGAGTGCTGGCATTACACAGTGTGTGATCCACTGCACCTGGCTTCTTCTTCATTTCAATGACAACCAGGAATAACAAGGCAGACTGAATCCTAGATTATTTACCCACTGCTCAGCTGATGAACAGTTTGTTACATCAAATACATATGTTACACATGATGATCTCACCATTGGCCTTGTATATTATCTGTGTGTGGCTAGCAACAGATTCCTTCTAATTCTTCAGTGTAAAACAATAAGCATATGTTGGCTGCTTCTCTGGCTCAAGGTGTCAGCTAAAACTATGATGAATCACACTGCTGGCTAAGGCTAGGGTTTCACCTAGGCTTGAGCAGGGGTGGAGCAAGTTTCCCACTTAAGAGACTGTTGGATTGTTGGGTTATTGAACTAAGAGGTCAGTCCATCCCTGGCTGCTGACTGGAGAGTTTCTTCAGATCCTTAACACAGGGATCAGAGGGCAGCTCAGTGTGGTGGCTGTCTGTCCTGACAGTGAGAAATGAGAAGACAAGCAAGGCAAAAGGCAATGCTAATGTGGGAAATTACCAATACGGAGTCAGGTAAAAATATAAGGGTATTTATTAGGGAGAAGCCTTACTTACAGAGTGACCTAGCTAGCCAGCAGGGCAGCAGTAAGTACAGCAAGCCGAAGATGAAACAGAAGAAGGGAAGCCCACTTGGTTAAGGTGTTCCCTACAATTCCCCTTTTAGTCTAAAAGAGGATTAAATCTTAACAGTGTAAAGTATCAAAATTAACAATTATAAAGGTGAAATGTAAGAAGATACAACATTCTACTTATGTCACATCCTAACTATATCTATTTTAACTAAACTCTAAAGTCATCTGAAAGAGGTGTCCAAGCCTGAACACCTTCTTCCAGTCTCAACCATAAACAATAGGAAGCTATCCCTAACTAGGTATACACTATTTTTAGTGACAACAATGGGGGAAAGGGGACGTAGAATCCTCCAAGTTACTTCCGGCTGAAATGGGACAGCAATAGCCTCATGGGGTCCTATAGGAAGAAAATGTTAGTGTAGTGAAAGTCTTGAATGGATTGTATCCAGTCCATGTTAGATGGTATTTGCTTGATTGAAGAGCTCCCTTGAAATCCTCAACTTGATTGAAGTCAGTATCCAAAGCTCTGGGCTGAGTGTCAGTTGAAATGGAACAAGTTGGATCCAGTGCAGTCAAAGAGGTGTGGTCTATTTTCTTTCCGAGGCGTCCAGGGATTGCTGTCAGGCAGGTCTTCATTGGCTGTGTGGGACGAAAATGTTAGCAGAGAAATCTTTGCTTGTGTAAGTTTGTATACTGGGAAATGCAACCATGGAAGAATAACAATTATGAGAGTGTATATACCTTGAAAGAAAGAGCCAAGAAAAGACAAGACAATCCCCAACTTTTCTCTTATTCTGTATTACATTAATTGGCTTCTTGATACAATACAGAACCTCTGAAGTTTAGTTAAACAACATGCTTGGATTTTAGAGAAGGAAAGCCAAATCCACCTCTAAAGCCAGCATTGGTTTAATTGAATAGGAACTAGGAAACAAAGAGAAAAAGAGTTTTCTGAGAGACAGCTGTAAAGTTTACCATATGGCACATTCCTTTTGTTTGATTGTTATAACTACCTTCTCTTCTTAAGTATCTACACATGCAGTGTCTTTTGACTTCTGGAGATGAGTTTTCTAGTGAAGATAAAAGCAAAACACTTCCCTTTCCTTTGGGAGGTTTCTATTTAGTTTATAAGCTATACCTTAGTAGAATACCTGTGATTACTCCTCGTCGAGAGGTTTTTCCTTTTCAACTCGAATCTTGATCAACTTTGATGGTATTCAAAGTCTTTCTTCTCTTGTGGAAACCAATGCAAAACCCTCTCCTCATCTTAACACATGTCCTGTTTTCCATACAGAGAGGTCAGTACACCTTTGAAGTATACCAGCTGATGCAGTTCAGCAGTTTTTTTTCTGTAGTCCAGTGTCTTTCCGAAGCTGTTTGTCCTTTCTCATTGGCATTAAGAAAGTTTAGTGTCAATAAAGCATTATGCAACCTATTTTGGGGGGGTTTTGTCTTCCCAGCCTGTCTATGGAGCATTTCCTTAAGTGTTCTATTAGATCTCTCAACCACTGCTTTTCCTGTAGGATTGTGTGGTATGCCGGTGACATGCTTTATGTTATAATATTTGAAAAACTGTTCCATTTTTGTGGGGACATATGCTGGAGCATTGCCAGTTTTTATTTGTGCAGGTATACCCATAACTGCCATCACCTCTAGGAGTGTGTAATAACAGAATCGGCTTTTTCAGAGTTAAGAGCAGTAGCCCATTGGAACCCTGAGAATGTATCTATAGTATGATGCACATATTTCAAACTTCCAAATTCTGTAACGTGAAAGACATCCATCTGCCGAACCTCATTTCTCTGAATGCCCTTAGGATTACAGCCTGCTGGCAATGGAGTTTGATTATAAAAGGAACAAGTAGGACAGTTTCTCACTATCTCCTTGGCTTGTTGCCAAGTGATAGAAGTTCTTTTTCAAACCTTTGCTCTTTACATGATGTTTCTTATAAAATTCTGAGGCTTCTAGCTCACTTCCAATTAATAAATGATCAATCTCATCATTGTCTTGTGCTAATGGGCCTGGCAGACCCATATGGGATCTGATATGTGTAATGTATAGAGGATCAATTCTGTTTCTGATTTTCTCCTGTAATTGTAAAAACAGTGAAGTTAATTCTGTATTATCAGGAACAAATTCTGCAGTCTCAACGTGTAACATGACTCTCTCTGCATATTGAGAATCAGTAACTTTAGTGAGAGGCTCTGTAAAATCCATGAGTATCATGAGAATTGCATATAATTCTGCATTCTGTACAGATGTATACAGAGTTTGAACTACTTTACTTACCTCACCTACTTTATAACGAGCCTTACCTGATTTGTTGGCATCAGTGTAGAAAGTAAGAACTCCAGAATTGGGAGTTTGTCTTACAATACGTGGAAGAATCCAGACTGTCTTTTTTATGAATTTAATTCTGTCAGTTTTGGGATAATTGTTGCTAATTGTTCCCAAAAAGTCAGTAAGAACTATTTGCCAATATTCATTATCCTTCCACAAGGAGGAAATTTCCTCATTAGTTAAAGGTACTATAATTTCTGCTGGATCTTTTCCAGTCAGCTGGCGAAGTCTTAATTTGCCCTTTAGAATCAAATCAGAAATCTTTTGCATATATGTATAACTTTTTATTCTGTTTATGTGGCAGAAATATCCACTCCAATATGGTATCTTCCCTCTGCATCAGAATCCCAGAAAGATGTTCTCTGGATAGCAAGATAACAAGAATACAGTCTAAATCAAGGTTTATCTGATCTACATGCGCATCCAATATTCTGTTTTCTACCCATTGTAATTCTTTTTCCAAATTAGTGGATAGTATTCGTGGACTCTTTAGGTCCTTATCACCTTTAAGGGCCATTTTTAAATGCCTTAAGTCATGTCCTTCTACCCCAATAATCGTCTGTAACTGAGAAATATCCTGTTGCCTTTTTAAACCTTCTGAGATAGCTTCTCCTACCCAAGCTCCAGTATCTTGCACAGTATAGTCAATATTGCCTGCATGCAAAACCCATTCTTCTAGCGGAGCTATCTGATCTTTAAAGGCAAAAGTATTCTTTTGCATATTGGGTTTGCATTTTCACAAGCTATTGTATATATAATTTATTGTCTTGTTTCCATATTGTTACCTGTAATTCTACTGCCCTAGTTAACCTTTGTAAGAAGTCCTGGAACTGTTCTGTGGGTCCCTGTTCTATTTCTGGTATAAGCTTGTAGGTGTTCTCCTGGCTCACGAAACTTATCCCAAGTGTTTAATGCTGCTTTCCTGCATAGGGACAGTATATAGTCATCATATTCAGCCTGAGCCTGTGGGTTAGCATAAATACCCTCACCAAGAATCTTATCTAGGGAGGCTTCATAACTGTCATTTATGCCTTGAGGCTCAAGGAGCTTCGCCACTTCCCTGACCAAAGCCCTCATTTGGTTTGGCATGAATTCTCAAGTACAGCTACCACCAATTGTTCCCAGTCTGTGGGTGTCACCCTGTTAAAGGTTGCCCACGAATGTGATAATAGCTGTTTTACACATGAGATATGCAGACCATGTGAGACAACTGATTCTTTAATATTCTTAAGATCCTTCAGCTGTATAGGTTGCCATATATAAACCATCTATCCCTGAGGGTGTTTCTTAGAAGCTGGCTTTTCTACCATGGTAGCTGGGTACACTAATGGTGTACGAGTAACAACCTTAGAAGAATAGTCATGATACCTGGGTGGAGTAGGTGCCTCAGATTGGAGTGATTCTGCCTCTGAGGCATCCCAATTATCTTTAAGTCTAGCAATAATATCCTCATGAAAAGTTTCGATTTCCTGCATCATAAAGTATTCCAAGCATATTAGCGAATCTGTAAATTGCTCTAACTGCTCCTCTACACATTTTTCTAGGTCTTTAATATGCTCATCCTTAGACAGCATCTGGATGGCATAGAAATTTCCTTCTAAATATTGGAGTCTAGACTCGAGGTCGTGATTTGTTGATGTGGAGGCCTCAGCAATTGACTGAATGGACCTATCTAATCTGTCATCCCTGTTCTGTAAATTATCTTCCAAACATTTGAACCTAGACTCAAATTTGTCATCTGTTGACTTAGATGCTTCTACAATTGATTGAATGTCATTATCCAATTCTTGAACCCTATTGTGGGTATTTTGCACCTTTGCATTTAATTTCTGTGACACAGAGCCTATCTGAGTTTCTAGTTGGCTACAGATATTCCTTAGTTCATCACAGTTCTCTGACAGCCTAGCCTCTAATGCCTCAGACATGGAGCATCTCTCTGTGTTTATCTTATCATAAATATGCTGCATCTCATCTTGAGTAACAGACAACTCTGCCTTTAGCATATTGGACACAGAGCCAAACTTATCATCCATCTTCTCTTCCACGTGCTGCACAAATGTGGCATGACCTAATCTGTTCTCGAAAACCTCATTGTGTAAAGCTGTTATTCCCTGCAAGTAGGTGGTGAGGTTATCTTTGTCCCTGATCCTGATACCTCTGGCTAGTAATGCTATTTGTACCAGGATAATTGCGGCTGTTGCATACAGGCAGGTGATTGGCAAATCAGCAACCTCCTCGAACATCAAATTCACCTAAGAAGCAAAGATATTACCAATTGAAGCAAATGATAGATATTCTCCCATGATTTTACCTGGTGGCTTCTACTCCAGATGCAGTAATTATCTTTGACCAGCAGGTGGCACAGGCATTCAGCTAGTCCACACAGCTTTGTGCAGCGGCCAGTCAGGCAAGATCGCGCCAGCGGTGGGGCTGAGGTCACACAGGTGGCTGTGCTTAGCTGGGAGCATGTAAGGCCTTTCAGCCAAAACCGCTGAGAGAGGCATGTCTTTACGGCTGCCAAAGCCAGGGAAGCCATGGATCCTGCTGAAAGCCAAGGCCAACTTGGCTTAGGGCCTGTGCAGGCCCCAGGACACTCAAAGGGCAAGTGGCCTCTGGGCGCAGTAGGCTCAAGTCTGGGCAGATCCGGTGCAGGTGCAGTTAGAAACTGCAGCAGTAAACCGTGGGGAGTCTGTAGAACTCTCCCAGCTGGGTGGACAGTTCTGAGCGGCTCAGCAGTAGTGGGAATGCACTTGTATGGCAGAGCACGTCGGCTGCAGAGGCAGGAGCACCTGTGGAGAGAGGGGCTTTCCTGGTCAGCTAGTCTACTGTCCCTGTGGGACCTGAGGTCACTCTCAAATGGGGCTTAGGTTTACAAGATCCCACTTCTGACACGAGATAATGTGGGAAATTACCAATATGGAGTCTGATAAAAATATAAGGGTATTTATTAGGGAAAAGCCTTGCTTACAGAGTGACCTAGCCAGCTGGCAGGGCAGCAGTAAGTACAGCAAGCGGAAGATGAAACAGAAGAAGTGAAGCCTACATGTGCACCCCTCACTCTTAAACCTTTCCTGTGTCACCCTGACCATGCCCTCGAAGACGTGGTCAGGCATACCTCTAGCTAGCCCCTGGCAGGCGTGGTTAAGGTGTCCCCTACACAACGTCTTTAGAACTTAACCTCAGAGAGGCAACCAAGTGCTGCACAGTAGTGTTCGATTACAATCCTAACTCATGGGAGGCTGAGGCTTCAGGGTTGTTACAAATTAGGAGGCTAGCTTGGGTTACAGGGCAACTCGCTGTCTTAAATAGGTAGACACTTTCCTGCTCAGGCCTGGTGACTTGAGTTTGGTCTCCAAGACCTACATAGTGGATGCAAAACAAACCAAAACCTCCCTAAAGCTGTCTTCTGATGTCCTCCTGTGCTGCATGACATTTATGAGTGCTAATAAGTGTGTGCTTTTCAAACTGTTTGGGCAATCTCTCTCTCTCTCTCTCTCTCTCTCTCTCTCTCTCTCTCTCCCCACTGTTCTCCCCATACAGTAGCTGGCATGAGTCAGGAGGAAGCTAGCAGGCAGGCATCAGACCTCTGGTAAAGCCAAGTGGGACTGATGGAATGTGCTGTGCATTCTTACAGCAGGTGCTACTGCACACAGCATCAGCCCTCAGCCTGTGTGGCAATTCGACAATGCTTTAAAGTGCACCATCCCTTTCATTCAACCCTTCTCAGACTTCAACTACTATGGCTGCTATTGTGGCTATATCACCTGGAACAACCGGCTGGAAATCTTAGACAGGTGAGTGATCCATCCTGTGGGAGACTAAAGTGTCTGGGTTGGGGTGTGGACAGAACACAAGCAGAGCATCTCATGTGGCATGAGATGAAGAGAGGCATAGTCACTAAACACCATACTTTGTCTAGTTTATTTATTTTTGTTTGTTGTCTCTTTGTTTCCAGACAGGGGGTCACTGTGTAGCCCTAATTATCCTGGAACTCTCTCTAGAGACCCCATTGGTCTTGAAACCAGATATCTTCCAGCCTCTGCCTTCTGAGTGCTGAGATGAAAGGTGTGCATCACCACCCAGCATATACTTTCCCCTCTTGTCATGTAAAGAAATCGATCCAAGAGGACCCTGTATTTAGTGTTCCCGAAAGTAGAATGTGTGAGATGTAAATAGTGGGTAATGCTACCCTCAGGCACCAGACTAGGGTCCAGCCAACCATCATAGTCACCATCAAAGTGTCAGCCTTGGCTTTAAAAAGTCATTGGGTACAAGCTTTCAAAGTAAGACCTAATGATTCTCTGGATTTCTTCAGTATCCATTGTTATGTCCCCCTTTTTTATTTCTGATTTTGTTAATTTGCATATTCTCTAACTCTGCCTTTCTGGTTAGTTTGGATAAACGTTTATCTATTTTGTTGATTTTTTTGAAAGACCAACTCTTTGTTTCATGGATTCTTTGTGTTGTTTTCTTTGTTTGTACTTTATTGATTTCAGCCCTCAGTTTGATTATTTCTTGGCATCTACTCCTCCTGGGTGAGTTTGCTTCTTTTTATTCTAGAGCTTTCAGGTGTGTTGTTAAGTCTCTATGTAACTCCAGTTTCTTTATGTGGGTACATACTGCTATGAACTTTCCTCTTAGCAGTGCTTTCAAAGTATCCCATAAGTTTGGGTATGTTGTGCCTTCATTTTCATTGAATTCTAGGAAGTCTTTAATTTCCTTCTTTATTTCTTTCTTGACCCAGGAGTGATGCAATTGAGCATTGTTTAATTCCCATGAGTATGTGGACTTTCTGCAATTTGTGTTGTTATTGATTCCTAACTTTAAGCCATACTGGTCCGATAAGATACAGGGTGTTATTACAATTTTTATGTCTGAGGATGTTGCAATGTTTCTGAGTATGTGGTCACTTTTAGAGAAGGTTCCATGTGGTGCTGAGAAGACGGTATATTCTTTTGTATTTGGATAGAATGTTCTATAAATGTCTGTTAATTCTAATTGGGTTATAACTTTTGTTAGTTCTTTTGTTTCTTTGTTAAGTTTCTGTCTGATGGTCCTGTCTAGTGGAGATAGCAGGGTGTTGAATTCTTCTACTATAAGTGTGTGAGGTTTTATGTGTGATTTGAGGTTTTTTAATTAATTTATTATATATATATATATTTGAATTTTTTAATTTTTTTATATATTTGAAGATTTGAGTTTTAATAATGTTCCTTTTATGGATGTGGGTGCCTTTGTATTTGGGGCATACATGTTCAGAATTGATACTTCATCTTTTTGATTAATTTTAGTTTGAAGTCTAATTTGATAAATATTAGGATAACTACACCAGCTTGTTTCTTAGGTCCTTTTGATTGGAAAATCTTTTCCCAACACTGAGGTAACATCTGTCTTTCAAGTTGAGGTGTGTTTCTTGTATGCAGCAGAAGGATGGATGCTGTCTTTGTATCCATTCTGTTAGCCTGTGTCTTTTTATATGTGAAATAAGGTCATTGATATTAAGGAATAGTAATGATCATTGATTGCTGATTCTTGTTAGTTTTGAATTTGTTGCTGGTGGTGGTATTGTGTGCATGTTTCCATTTTGGGGATTCTGAAAGTGTAGGATTATCTATTGTCTATGTTTTATCAGATTTTTTTATTTGAATTAGAAACAAGATTGTTTTACATGACAATCCCAATTCCCTTCACCTTCCCATCCTCCCCTACCACCCCCAACTAAAACCCTACTTATCACATATCCTTTCTGCTCCCCCTAGATGGTGAGGTCTTTCATAGGGTGTCATCAGAGTCATATTCTTTGGGATAGAGCCTAGGCCCACCCCCATGTGTCTTGGCTCAGGGAATAGTCCTCTGTGTGGAATAGGCTCCCAAAGTCCACACCTACGCTAGGGATAAGTACTGAACTACTGCAGGAGGTCCTGGAGATTTCCAAGGTTTCCTCAGTGAAATCTATGTTCCTGGGGTCTGGATCAGTCCCATGCTGGTATCTCAGCTATCAGTCTGAGGAGCAAGAGTTCCCCAATGTTCAGGTCAGTTGTTTCTGTGGGTTTCACTAGCCTGGTCTGGACGCCTTTGCTCTTCACTCATCCTTCTCTGCATTTGGATTCCAGTTCAGCTCAGTGATAATTTGTGGGTGTCTGCTTCTATTTCCACCAGCTGCTGGATGAGGGCTATTGGGTGGCATATAAATCAGTTATCAACCTTATAACCAGGGGAGGTCATTTAAGGTAGCCTCTCCTCTGTTGTTTAGATTGTTAGCTGGTGTCATCTTTGTAGATCTCCAGACATTTCCCTAGTACCTGATTTCTCTGTAAATATAAAATGACTCCTTATGTTATGGTATCTCCATTCTTGTTTTCTTCTATTCTTCCCCTGACTCAACCTTTCTGCTCCCTCATGTCCTCTGCATCCCTCCTCTTCTTCCCTTCTCATTCTCCTAGCCCCCTCACCCATCTTCCTGTGCTCTTAATTGGATCAGGGGATCTTGACCCTTTCCCCTTCTCCAGGAGACCATGTATGTCTCTCTTAGGATCCTCCTTGTTTACTAGCTTCTCTGGCAGTGTGGATTGTAGGCTAGTAATCCTTTACTCTATGTCTAAAATCCACATATGAGTGAGTACATATCATGTTTGTCTTTTTATGATTGGATTAACTTACTCAGAATGGTTTCTTCTAGTTCCATCCATTTTCCTGCAAATTTCAAGCTTCCATTGTTGTTTTCCACTGAGTAGTACTCCATTGTGTAAATGTACCTCATTTTCTCTATCCATTCACTTATGTAGACTATTATATCATCTGCAAATAGTGAGAGTTTGACTTCTTCCTTTCTGATTTGTATTCCCTGATTTCTGCAGGACCTTTATTATGAAGGGGTGTTGGATTTTGTCTAAGGCCTTTTCGGTATTTAGTGAGATGATCATGTGATTTTTTTCCTCAATCTGTTTATATGGTGGATTACATTGATGGATTTTTGTATGTTGAACCATCTTTGCATCCCTGGGATGTGTTCTTGGATTTGCCAATATTTTATTGAGAATTTTTTGCATCAATGTTCATGAGGATATTGATCTGTAGTTCTCTTTCTTAGTTTTGTCTTAGTGTGGCTTGGGTAACAAGAATATTGTGGCCTCATAAAAAGAGTTTGGTAATAACCCTTCTGCTTCTATTGTGTGGAATACTTTGAGGAGAATTGGTATTAGCTGTACATTGAATTTCTGGTAGAATTCTGCACTGAAGCCATCTGGCCCTGGGCTTTTTTTTGGTTGGGAGACTTCTGATGACTGCTTCAATTTCATTAGAGGTTATAGGTCTATTTAAGTTGCTTATCTGTTCTTGATTTAATTTTGGTAGATGAAATCTGTCCAGAAAATTGTCCAGTAGCTGGGTTTATGTTGAGATCTTTGATCCATTTTGACTTAAGTTTTGTGCATGGTGATAGGCTTGGGTCTACCTGTAGTCTTCTACATGGCTGAATCTAGTTATGCCAGCACCATTTGTTGAAGATGTTCTCTTTGTTCCATCGTATAAATTTAGATTGTTTGTCAAAATTCAGGTGCTCATAGGTGTGTGGGTTAATATCAGGGTTTTCAACTCTATTCCATTTGTTTATCTGTCTATTTTTATGCCAATACCTAGCTGTTCTCAGGACTATAGCTCTGTAATAGAGCTTGAAGTCAGGTATGGTGATGCCTCCAGAAGTTCCTTTATTGTACTGGGTTGTTTTGGCTATCCTGGGTCTTTTGTTTCTGCATATAAAGGTGAGAATTGTTCTTTCAAGGACTGTGAAGAATTGTGTTGAGTTTTTGATGGGGATTGCATTGAATGTGTAGATTTCTTTTGGCAAGATTGCCTTTTTTACTATGTTGATCCTGCCAATCCAAGAGCATGGGAGATCTTCCCATTTTCTGGTATCTTCTTTAATTTCTTTCTTTAGAGATTCAAAATTCTTTTGGTATAGGTCTTTCACTTTTTGGCTTAGTGTTACCCCAAGGTATTTTATGTTGTTTGTGGCAATTGTAAAGGATATGTTTCTCTGATTTCTTTCTCCACCAATGTGTCATTGGTATATAGTAGGGCTACAGATTTTTTTGAGTTAATCTTGTATCCTGCCACTTTGCTGAAGGTGTTTTTCAGCTGTAGGGGTTCCCTGGTAGAGTTTTTCGGTCACTCATGTAGACTATCATATCATCTGCAAATAGTGAGAATTTGACTTCTTCCTTTCTGATTTGTATTCCCTTGATCTCCTTTTGTTGTCTTATTGCTCTAGCTAGAACTTCAAGGACAATATTGAAGAGGTATGGAGAGAGTGGACAGCCTTGTCTTGTTCCTGATTTTCGAGGCATTGCATTGAGTTTCTCTCCATTTAATGTGATGTTGGCTATCTGCTTGGTGCATATTGCTTTTATAATGTTGAGGTATGTTTCTGTTATCCTTGATTTCTCCAAGACCTTTATCATGAAGGGGTGTTGGATTTTGTCAAAAACAATTTTTCAGCATCTATTGAGATGATCATGGGTTTCTTTTTCCTCAGTCTGTTTATATGGTGGATTACATTGATGGATTTTCGTATATTGAACCATCCTTGCATTCCTGGGATGAATCCTACTTAACCATGGTGGATGATTTCTCTGATGTGTTCTTGGAATCGATTTGCCAGTATTTTATTGAGAATTTTTGCATCAATGTTCATGAGGGATATTGGTCTGCAGTTCTCTTTCTTAGTTGTGTCTTTGTGTGGCTTGGGTATCAAGGTTATTGACACATCTGTTCTTGATTTAATTTTGGTAAGTGAAATCTCTCCAGAAAATTGTCCATTTCCTTTAGATTTTTGAATTTTGAGGAATATAGGTTTTCGAAGTATGACCTGATGATTTTCTGGATTTCCTCTGTGTCTGTTGTTATGTCCCCCTTTTCATTCCTGATTTTCTTAATTTGCGTGTTCACGCTCTGCTGTTTGGTAAGTTTGGATAAAGGTTTGTCTATCTTGTTGATTTTCTCGAAGAATCAACTCTTCGTTATATTGATTCTTTGTATTGTTCTCCTAGTTTCCATTTTATTGATTTCAGCCCTCAATTTGAGTATTTCCTGGCATCTGCTCTTCTGGGGTGTATTGGCTTCTTTGTGTTCTAAAGTTTTTAGTTGTGCTGTTGATTCTCTAGTGTGATTATTCTCCTGTTTTTTCAGGTGGGCACTTAGTGCTATGAACTTTCTTCTTAGCACTGCTTTCAAAGTGTTCCATAGGTTTGGGCATGTTGTGTCTGCATTTTCTTGAATTCTAGGAAATCTTTAATTTCTTTTTTTATTTCTTCCTTGACCCAGGAATTCTGCACTTGGGTGTTACTTAATTTCCATGAGTTTGTAGGTTTTTTGTAATTTGTGTTGTTGTTGAATTCTAACTTTAAAGCATGGTGGTCTGATAAGATAGAGGGGGTTATTTCAATTCTTTTGTATCTGTGGAGATTTTCTTTGTTGCCAAGTATGTGGTCGATTTTAGAGAAGGTTCCATGTGGTGCTGAGAAGGAGGTAAATTGTTTTGTATTTGGATGGAATGTTCTATAAATATCTGTTAATTCCAATTGTGCCATAACTTCTATTAGTTCTTTTGTTTCTTTGTTAAGTTTCTGTCTGGTGTTCCTGTCTACTGGTGAGAGTGGGGTGTTGAAGTCTCCCACCATAAGTGTGTGCGGTTTTATGTATTGTCTATGTTTTTTTTGGGTGTAGCTAACTTACCTGGGTTGGAGCTTTCCTTCCAGTACTTTCTGTAGGATTCGATTTGTGGATATGTATTGTTTAAATCTGTTTTTTTTTTCATGGAATATCTTGTTTTCTCCATCTATAGTGATTGAAAGCTTTTCTTGGTATAGTAGTCTGGGCTGGCTTCTGTGGTCTTTAAGTATCTGCAAAACATCTATCCAGGACCTTCTGGCTTTCAGAGTTTCTATTGAGACATCAGGTGTAATTCTGATAGGTCTGCCTTTATATGTTACTTGGTGTGTCATTGGTGCCACAACTAAGTTGGAGTATCAGGTGAAATCCTGGAGATTTAATTAAAAGCAGAGACATCCAGCTGGTTGTGCTATGTATGTCTGTCCATCTTTATTCTTCTTCCTTATTGCAGGGGGAGAGCAGCCTTATATACACTTACAGTACAGTGGAAAAACCCCAAGTGTAATAGCTCTTGGAAAAAGCTATAATTTTGTTGAATATGTTTTCCATGCCTTTGAGTTGGGCTTCTTCACATTCTACTATACCTATTATTCTTAGGTTTGGTCTTTTGACAGTATCCCAGACACAGAAAGAAAAACATGGTATGTACTCACTCATAAGTGAATATTAGATAGAGCAAAGAATAACCAGTATACAATCTACAACCCTAGAGAAGGTAACAAGGAGGACCCTAAGAGAGACATACGTGGATATCCCCCCACTCCCCAAGAAGGGGAAAGGGACACTATCTCCTGAGTAAATTGGGAACATGGGGTTAGGGAGGAAAGAGATAGGAGAAAGAGGAGGGGAGGAAGGGAGTGGGAGGAGAACATGAGGGATCAGGAAGGTGAAGTTGAGGCAATAACAGAGGAGGCCAGGAAAGAGATACATTAATAGAGGGAGTCATTATGGACTTACCAAGAAATCAGGCACTAGGGAAGTTTCCAGGGATCCACAAGGGTGAACCCAAATAAGGCAACCTTAAATTCCCTTCCCCTACAATGAGATTGATGACTACCTTAAATGCCATCATAGAGCCTTCATCCAGTAGCTGATGGAAGGAGAAGTAGAGATTCACAGCCAACCACTGAGCTGAACTCCTGGAATCCAATTGTAGAGAGGGAGGAGTAATGAACATAGGGGTCAAGACCATGCTGGGGAAACTCATAGAAATAGCTGACCTGAGCAAGTGGAAATTCATAGGCCCCAGCCTGACAGCTGGGGAACCAACATAGGACCAATCCAGGCCCCCTGAATGTGGGTGTCAGTTAGGAACTGGACAGTCTATGGGGCCTCTGGCATTGGAACCAGTATTTATCCCTAGTGCATGAATGAGCTTTGGGAACCCATTCCCTATAGAGGGATACTCTCTTGGCCTAGATACACTGGGGAGGGCCTAGGCCCCGCGCCAAATGATGTGACAGACTTTGATGATACCCCATAGGAGGTCTCACCCTCCTAGGGGGTTGGATGGTGGGGGCATGGGAGGACAGGAGGGAGAGGGAACAGGGACTGGCATGTAAAATAAAATTATTTTTTAATTAAAAAATTAATGTTAAAAAGAATTTAAAGAAGTCAGGGCTGGAGAGATGGCTCAGAGGTTAAGAGCATTGACTGCTCTTCCAGAGGTCTTGAGTTCAATTCCCAGTAACCACATGGTGGCTCACACCCATTCGTTATGAGATCTGGTGCCCTCTTCTGGTGTGCAGATATACATGGAAGCAGAATGTTGTATACATAATAAATAAATAAAATCTTTAAAAAAAGAATTTAAAGAAGTCATTGAAACTTCAGAATATATCATTTCAGTATATTCCTGCAGCTTTGTTTAAAAAAAAAAAACTTTTTTTGAGCCAGGGTCCCATGTACTGTGATGAAGGGCAGGCAGCACCACAGTTCACAGAAGTTGCATACAATAAATATATGCTTAATAAAAATCAGAGATTCTCAAGCTTCAGGACCATTTCTTCTGGGACATCATCTTTAAACCTTCCAGCCATGTTTGAGGAAGACTGCAAGTGAGAACTGACCTCCTGTGGCTCCATGCTGCTCCCTCAGCTGTTCTTTCCTCTCTACAGGTGCTGCCAGACTCAGGAGCACTGCTATGATCAGGTCAAGAACATGAAAAACTGCAAATTCTTCAAAGACAAGACCTATAACAGCTCTTACTTATTCGCCTACTCAGGGAATGAGATCATTTGCAGTGGTAGGTTTACCTTGCGGGACCTCTGGACTCTGTTTGGCTATTGGCAGGTTTGGAAGAGACAAGGAAGTAACAAGGACAGGCACCATTTAGTGGTGATTTTTCTTGGTCTCATTTGACCTCAAAGCAACCCTATCAGGTAGACACTACATTATGGATGAGCTAACTGTTGAGGAAGATGAGGAAGAAAAGCCAGGCCACTTGCCCAAGGTCACCTAGCTTAGAAGTAATGGCATTTGAATCTGGAACAAAGGCCTACTTCATTCCAAAGCCTGTTTTGATCAATTTTATGTAATTCTAGGGGAGTTATGCCTGTGCCACAGCATAGGTGTGCAGCTCTGAGGACAAAGTGCAGGAGTCTGTTCTCTCCTGCAACCATGTGAGTCCTGGGGATGGAACTTGGCTTCACTCTTGGCAGCAGGTGCCTTTATTCCCTGAGCCATCTTGCCAGCCCAAAGTCTCTATTAGCTGCTGTGTTATACTGATTCCATATTTACTAAACTATTGGAAGCTGCATCATTAACTATAAACCAAACACTGGACTAAACACATATGCAGGACAAGATTTATCATGGCCATTATATAGGTGAGGATTCAGAGGGCTGAGAATATAGCTAACTTGCTAGAGAGCTTGTCTAATATGCACAGAGCCCTGTATTCCACCTCCAGAACCCATAACTTAGTGTGGTGGTGCACGCCTGCAATCATAGCACTGGGGGGTGGGGGTGGAGGCAGGAGGATTGCTTCTAATCACATAATTTTATAAGTGGTAGTTGATATTTGTCCTTTTCTGGACTTTAGCATTAAATATCCATATCCATATACATATACATATGTTGTCATCGTGTGTCCTTTTTGGTCACTCTCTACCATATTTTTAGATATTGGGTCTGTCCCTAAAACATGACATTAATCTTTAGCTAGTCTGAACTATAATCAAGTTTTGGGGAATCTGTGCTCCCTGCTTCCCAAAAGAGTTAAAGATACCCCAGCCACATCTTGCTTTTTACATTAGCTTTGGGGATCCTAGATCAGGCCCCTATGGTTGTATGGCAACTGCTTTATTAACTCTGCCATCTCCCAGCCCCCAAACAACTAATTATTTTTATTAAAAGTGTGTTCTAGCAATTTGGGAAACCCCATGTCCTTTTGTGTCTTTCAACCCTGAGTCTGCACCTGTGGGAGCATCAACGGTGTCTTTGGTTACAAATCATATGGAGCAGAGTCATGGGTTCCACTCAACTTCCTTTCATGTTTCTCTGCAGATAAAAACACCTGTGAGGACTTCATCTGCAACTGTGACCGCCAGGCTGCCATCTGCTTCTTCAAGGCTCTATGAGCTATCAGTACAAAGGCATTCACTGTTAGACTTGTCACCTCAGTTATTGCCTACATCATCCCTGCCTGCCTGGTTGTGTTCACTACACAACCTATCCTGTCATAAAGAAGCTACAGAAAGAGCTCAGGTTTGGTGATTTTATTCTCTGCCTATTGAACATAATTAGATGCTCAGAAGTCCTTCCCTCTACCCCTGGAGCTGAAGATTAATGGAAAAGACATTTCCTTTAGGGGAGCACCTGAAAGAGTGGGTAATGAGTCCTGCTATGCCTTTTATCCCAGCACTCTGGGATGCAGAGGAAGAGGAAAGCAGATCTCTCTGAGTTCATGGCCAAAGTGATCTAAAAATAGAGTTCCACGATGTCTAGGACTATTAGACAAAGAAACCCTATCTCTAAACTTACCCTCCTCCAAAATAAAAAGCAGAAGCAGAAGAAGAAGCCAGTATGAAATACATAGGAAGAGGGTAGATAAAAATGGAAAGAAGAGGGGAGAGATGAGGCATGGAAAGGGAATGGAAAGGAGGGGAGGGTTGGGAAGGAAAGGGAAGAAAAGAAAAGACAGAGAGGTAAGAGGGGAAAGAGGAGAGAAAGTTGCCATGTCACATGGACACTAAAGGAACATCTTGGCCCTAGAAATATTGAACTCAAAGAGCTTCTGCTCTGTGCCCATTCTAGGATGTGAGATATAGGAAACCAAACCAGACTGACAGTATTGACCTGAAGTCAGGATAACATCTGGGTGGCCTTCCAGTCTTCACTGTGCCTAAACACAGGCCACAGGACAACTGTCCAGCTAAAGTACACAGCAGCCTAGCTTTACAATAAACAAAAGAGAACAGATCTTCACCTCTGCCTTTCTTTCATGGGAAACAACAGGTGAAGTCAGGATAATCCTTGGTTCCCTGGTCAATGAGATTTAAGAATAAGATGTCTCATTGACTGGTTTAAGGCTATGTGGTTCTTGGTCTCTCATTTTCTTTAGTGGACAGCTGCCCAGTCTGTGGATAGAGTTTCTGTCCTTACTTTCCCAAAACCATTTAGTCCCAAATAAGCACACAGAGGCTTATATGCATTATAAACTCCTTGGCTGGTGATTCAGGCTTTTTATTGGCTACATCTCTCTTAATTATTAACCCATTTATATTAATCTATATATCTCCCCGTGGTCTTGGCTTACTGGAGAATTCCCAGATGTCCTATCTTCCTAGTAACTCCTCCATGAAGTACTTCTTCTATGAAGCTAGACTCTTTCAGGAAGCCAAGGAATAGGACATTATCCACAGCTGCTTTAATCCTAGACATGCTGTTTAGCAGATTAAAGACTCATGTTCAGAAAAAGATATATACTGTAAAGACTGATTCAGATGAAAAAAAAAACCTTCTAAAGGATTTACAGTGTGTTTAAAATATACCTAGGCTTGGGAGAGAAAAAGAATGATAAAGAAAGCCCTTAAAATAGAAATAGATTAGCTGGGTGTGGTGGCACATGCCTTTAATCCCAGCACTTGGGAGGCAGAGGCTGTCAGATTTCTGTGGCTTTATGGCAAGTTTGGTCTACAGAGTTATCTCCAAGACAGCCAAAGATAAACAGAGAAACCCTGTCTCAAAAACCCAGAAAATAAAAATTAAAGAAATAGAGTAATAAAAAAAGCCATGTAAAGATGGAAAATACACAGAGAGTCTGGATACTGTATGATACTGTGTTGTCTTTGAATTGTTTGATTGCTGAGGAAAGAGCAACAGCTGCTAAAAGACATTTTATTATTTAAATGCTGCTGGGTTAATCCAACCTATGTATATTTAAAATGCCTTGACTTCAAATTTTAAGTCTAAGGACATGTTACTTTGGAAAAGCGGTTCTGCTTTTGTTTCCACAGAAGATGAAAAGCTGTGGATTCCTTCCAGACTAATATGTTTTGATCAAGCAAGACCCCCTGAAACAGTGACCCAGGTGATCCAACATGCAAAACATCTGAGACCGTGCAGCCTTATATATCGCTACAGCCAGGGTTTGGACAGATTTCTGGGTTTTCTTAGGATCCCCTGGGGACTGACAGTACCCACAAATAGCAGGAAGCAGTTTGGAGAGAACTACAACCACATTCTCAAATATTATTTATAAATGTTTGTTTTCATTTAAACAGGATTGATGGGGAATATCCTTCTGTATATATGTTTCTCTTATTGGTTGATTAATAAAGCATTGTTTGGCCAAGCAGGAAGACAGGCAGGCACAGGAGATGAGGAGAATTCTGGGAAAGTAGGCAGAGAGGCATGCTAAAAAGAGAGAGAGAGATGCCATGTAGACACCAAAGAAGTTGCAGGTCCAAGACCATGTGGAAATACATAGATTTATAGAAATGAGTTAATAATTAAGTCAGAGATAGCCAATAAGAAGCCCTAGCCACTGGCCAACAGTTTAATAATATAATTCTTTGTGTGCTTATTTGGGGCTGAAACTGCAGCAGGACCTGGTCAGATAAGAAATTGCAGCTACATGGGGTTGGTCAATTTCTTTCTAATGTAAAAAAGGTAATATGAATAGAAATGAATACTTTGCATTGTCATGGATTTGGGTTTATTGATATAAATTTAAGGTCAAATTTGTTATATGTATATTTCTACTCTTGTATAGGTATTGTGTTTTATACAGCTCATTTTAAAATGTAACATATAATTAAATAAGATTATCCGTAGTCACCTATAATAGTCAAAACTTACACTACTGTTAGTTAAGTTTTCTAGATATGCAGGGATATTTTTCAAATGGATAGGTATTCTTCAAAACTTTTCAAGGAACTACAGAATATGGTATTTAAAATGGTTTATTAGTGCCTTTAATGACAATGAGACACACTTGCTCCTGGCAACACCAATTACTTCAGAGAGGAAGATGGGCATCGAAGAAACTGGTTATGGAGTTTGCCTTCAACATGGCAGGGGTAGCATTTTGGACAAGAGACTGCTCTTTGATCTTGTCTGGACTACTTGACAGCATCCTGTCCAAACTGGATAAGCAAGTTACAAAGAAAAGAAACTGCTGAACTTGCCAAGGGACAGGATGGACCTTCAAGGTTTCTGCTTCATCAAAGAGTCTGCCAGACATTCTGGGTCTATAGGCTGAAGAGAGATGCCCCAACATTACAGAGGAACTTTGTGTAACTGTCCAGGAAGCAAGATGTCTCTGTCAATTCTATATAATCCTTCTGTGGTCTTTGATGGAATTGAAGACAGATAGTTATGGTTATGGTTTCCATTAGTTATGATAAAGATAAGTCGCATATAAAACTTTAGACTCACAAAGATGGGACAGATGATAGAATATTTTCTTTAAATTTTGCCAAATGTTAGTTGAATAAATATTGTTAACTATAGTTCTTGCTTGATAACTATTTTGATATATATATATATATATATATATATATATATATATATATAGCTTTCATGCCTTGAACTGTTTCGATTGCTTCCTTCACTTGTTTGTTTTTTTTCTCTTGGCTTTCTTTAGATTCTTTAAGAGAATTACTTATTTCTTGAATTTTTGTTTGTTTTTCTTCTATTTCTTTAAATTTTCTTGTTTTCTCTTTAAGGGTCTCAAACATCTTCATAAAGTAGTTTTTTAGGTCTATCTCTTCTTCCTCTTTGTTATGTTTTTCAGATCTTGCTGGTGTGGAGTCCCTAGATTCTGGTGGTGTCATATTGGTCTTTCTGTCATTGTGTGTGTTCTTATTCTGTATTCTTCCAATATCTTATTCTAGTGGGTGCAGGTGGTCTCTCTCTATCTCCTCTGTCACCCAGTAGTGTATGTGGGCCAAGACTTCAATGTCTGCAGCTCTGGATGGTCTTGACTCTCCTGGTAGTCTCCTCACTCAGCAGAGGTCATGGCAGAGGGGGAACCGAGAGTGAGGTGTTTCCGTGCTTAGGGAGATCTTCCCTATCTTGGTGGATCCACTCTATGCCAGGCACAGGCCTAGAGGATTGGGGGGTGATGGGGGAAATTGGGCAGGAGTCAGCCAGGAGCTGAGGGTACACTCACCTGAGGTTGGGGCAGTGGAGGGGCAAGGAAGCAAAATCTTTAAATGGTTTTTAAAAAGAAACTTTGGAATGATGAAGATCTTTGTTCCAGAACTAAATGCCATCACTTCTAAGCTGGGTGACCTTGGGCAAGTGGCTCGGCCTTCCTCATCAGTGAACTTGTCATTGTTGGTTTGACTTTTTATTCTTTGTGTGGCCTGCCACCCAGCTCCCAAATAAATACATGGAAACTTATTCTTTCTCATGAACACCAAGCCTTAGCTTGACTTGTTTCTATACAGCTTTTCTTAACTTAAATTATCCCATCTACATTTTGACTCTTGGCTTTTATCTTTCTCTATGTCTGTTTATCTCTTCTCTACTTGTTACTCCTTGGATTGCTGTGCAGTTGGGTGCCTGGCCCCTGGAGTCCTCCTCATTTTTTTGTCCTCTATTTTTCTTCCCAGATTCCTCCTCCTATTTATAAATGATAGGCAGGGCTGGCACCTCCTCCTATTTATTCTCTCTGCCTGCCAGCCCTGCCTATCATTTCTCCTGTCTTACTATTGGCTATTCAACTCTTTATTAGACCAATCAGTTATTTTAGACAGGCAAAGTAACACAGCGTTACAGAGTTAAACCAATTCGACATGAAAAGAATACCACACATCTTTGCATCATTAAACAAATGGTTCACTAATGTCGGAATTACCAATATGAAGTCAGGTAAAAATATAAAAATATTTATTGGGGAGATGCCTTACTTACAGAGCGACCTAGCCAGCCAGCAGGGCAGGAGTAAGTACAACAAGCCAAGGATGAAAAGGAAGAAGGGAGCTCCATGTGTGCACCCCTCACTCTTAAACCTTCCCTACATCACCCTGACTACACCCTTGAAGGCTTGGTCAGGCACATCTGTAGCCAGCCCCTAACAGGTGTGGTTATGGTGTCCCCTACAATTCCTCTTTTAGTCTAAAAGAGGATTAAAACTTAACAGTGTTAAGTATCCAAAATTAACAGTCATAAAGGTAAAATATAAGAAGATACAATAATCTGCTTATGTCACATCCCAACTATGCTCCCACAGTTCACAGCATAAACAAATGTAACACATTTTAAAGTAATATTCTACAGAATTTCCCCCTTTTGTCTAAATAAAAAATGAAAGGTATTATAAAGTACATTCAGTGACCATTCAGGTTGTATGTAATAGGGCACAACAGCTGCTGATCTTTCGAAGGAACCAACAAACCTACCTTTAAAATGGTTTACAAGCAAACCTGTCTTGATAAAACAGTGGCCTTTGATATCAGAAAATTACAGGCCTTATAACTTCAGCTAAAAGCTGGATGTATTGAAGAATCCACTAGTACTTGGATTTCTCCTATATTTGACATTAAAAAAATCTGGAAAATGAAAAATGTTAACAGATTTGAGAACCATAAAGAAAGTAATTTAGCTGATGGGCTCTTTATTTCCATATAAATTTTAAGGCCTAAAATTTCCCTGCCTTCTCTGTTACCTAAAGGATGGTCTATTATAGTGATTGACTTAAAAGATTATTTCTTCAGTATACCTTTGCAAGAACATGATTGAGAAAAATTTTCCTACACACTGCCTAATAATTCTCAGTCCATTAAAAGATATCAGCGGGCCAGGCAGTGGTAGCACCCATCTTTCATCCCAGCACTCAGGAGGTAGAGGCAGGTGGGATCTCTGTTAGTTTGAGGCCAGCCTCATCTATAGAGCTAGTCCCAGGAAAGCAAGGGCTGTTACACAGAGAAACCCTGTCTCCAACAAACAAACAAATAAAAAGATATCAGTGGAAAGTTCTTACACAAGGGATGTTAAACAGTTCTACCCTGTGCCAATATTTTGTATGACAGCCTATGGAAATAATTCATAATCAGTTTCCTCAATGCATAGTATACCATTATATGAAATATATCTTACTAGCTGATTAAAATGTAGATACCTAAGGGAAAATGTTTAAAGAAGTCAAGAAAATTTCGCCTTGTTGGAGTTTATAAATTGCTCCTGAAAAAATACAAAGAGGAGATTCTATTGATTACCAAGTGTATAAGATAAGTTTACAAAAAAATCCAACCACAGAAAGTACAATTCCACAGAGACCAATGATAAACTCTTACAGATGACGGAAAGGAGAAGGGTGGAGTCAGGAGTTGCCGGCCAGAGGAAGAGGGAGACGGAGATGAATGTAATATGCTGATAAAGGTACCGCCACATGGCAGAGCACAGATAAGGAATATGGGATAACTAAAAATGGATGAGCTAGTTAGCAATAAGCTTGAGCTATTGGCAGAGCATTTATAATTCATATAAGCCTCTGTGTGGTTTTTTGGGACTTGGAGGTCTAGACAGAAAACTTTTGACTACATTGCCCCACCCCTACTCAAGCCTAGGTGAAATTCCAGTCTTAACCAGCAGTGGGATTCATCACAGTTCTAGCTGAGACCTTGAGCCAGAGAAGCACCCAACACATGCTTATCGTTTCACACTGGAGAATTAGAAGGAATCTGTTGCGTGGCCACACAAATAATATACAAGGCTAATGATCAGATCATTATGTGTAACGTCAGCATTTGACATAACAAACTATTCATCAGCTAAGGAGGAAAAAATAAGCCAGGATTCAGTCTGCAGTGGGATACTTGGTTGACATTAAAATGAAGGAGAAGCCAGGTACAGTGGATCACACACTGTGTAACCCCAACTCTATGGAGGCGGAGGCAAGTGGATATCTGAGTCAGAGCCAGCTTGGTCTACACAGTGAGTTCCAGGAGAGCCATAGCTACACAGAGAAACCCTCACATGTAAAACTAGAAAATACAATAGAATCGCAGACACAAGCCAGACATGTAAGTAATCCTAACACATGGGATGCTGAGGCAAGTCTGGGCTATAATGTTGATTTGGAGGACAACCTGAGCCACATAATAAAATCATGTAAATAAAACAATAATAAGGGCTGGAGAAATGGCTCTGCAGTCAGGTGCACTTGTGTAGGACCCAGGCTTGGTTCCAGCACCAACATGGCAGCTCACAATTGTCTATGAACCCAATTTTGGAAGATCACACCCCTCTTCTGGCCTGTGTAGGCATTACTTACACACAGTTCAATGACACCCATGCAGGGAAAGCACTCATACACATAAAATAAAAGTCAATGTTTTAAAAGGATGAAAATAATCAAATTTTCAGCACAATGTAGGGCCAGGGAAATTGGTATCAGGGCAATATGGTAAAAGCATAAGTCTTTCTACACAAGTCTTTCTTCACTTGTGTAGTGAATGTAGTGGACTTTTGTGGTGATAGCAAGATATCACCGCAGACTTAATAAGGGCTCATCTGAGTTCAACCTAGAGGATAAAGATGCCAGCTGTTGTAGATGTGGGGTGATCAGGGAACCTCAATCCAGAGGCTATTAGACTCCAATGAGAACCCCAAACCAGAACTTCAGGAGTGACCATTGGGGACTGCACATAGAAGACAAGGCAGGTGGTGGGGGCACTCAGAGGGGACAAGGGTTCTTCCTACCTGTGAGCAGAGTGACCAACAGAAGGAGTTTCATCTTGAGTGAGGGGAGGACTCAAGTGACTGCTCTCTTTGTGGTTCTGGAACTGTTTTGACAGTGTCCAGTCAGCACATGGGGCCTGGTGACTACTGTGTGTGTGCAGACACTGAATCACAGGCAAAGAGAAAGGGGCTGTCTCATTACCCCACAGAAGCTCAAGTGCAGTGACTGACAAAGTGCCAAGTTCCTCCTCCATGGATGCTTTGAGGTCATAAGAAGATATAGACATTGTTCCTGGGGTTGGGTCTGAGGGATGCTGATAGTGATTTGTGGTACTAGGCAGAAGTAGCTGGCTCTGACAATCCTTGCTGTTAACTGTATAACATAAGTGTCAAGTCTATCCCAAGACTTGACACAACCTTTGAGTTATAAATCCAGTTACAAATTCCATCTTTAATTAATTATTTAATCTCTCTCTCTCTCTCTCTCTCTCTCTCTCTCTCTCTCTCTGTGTGTGTGTGTGTGTGTGTGAAAGAGAGTGAGAGAGAGACAGAGACAGAGACAGAGAGAGAGAGAGGGGAGAGAAAGAGAGAGTGACTTGACTCCCTTTAAATATTTTTTAAAGAAAAAAGAAAGCAAAGGCCCAGCAGCTGTGCCAATAGACCAATGTGATGCAGGCAATCCTTCAGCTGAGGCTCTCCCTCCCCAGTGTGTGAAGCTGACAATCAACCACTACAGGGGCTGGAGAGATAGCTCAGCACTTAAGAGCACTTTCTGCTCTTGCTGAGTACTGGAGTTAAATTCTCAGCAACCACTTGTGTATGGAGAACAATGTCTGCTGGCCCAATGCCCTATCGCCTCTGTGTTTGGCCATCTCTCTTGTACCCTCCCACTTAGCATCCCAGCTCCTTCTTTTCTCCACTTGTCACCTCTTCCCTGGATAAAAACCTTGTAGGGGTGAGTTGAGTTGGTTGTCTCCACACTCAAGACCCCACTACTCTTCCAGCAGACTCTGAACAGCCACTAACAGCTACTACCAGTCACTGCACCTTTGCAGGCAGCTCTAGCTGCACCTGTTGCTCACCAGGCCTGACCTTGGGAGGGGCCAGGCCTGAACTTTGGGATAGGAGTGAGGATGGCAATAGGGGTGGAAAGGCAGAGGACTGGGCAGCTGTTCACTAAAGGAAAAGAGAGACTGAGAACCACGTAGCCTTAAACCAGTCAACGAGACATCTTATTCCTAAATTTGGTTGACCAGGGAACCAGAGATTAACCTGGCTTTACCTGTGGGGTCCAGTGATGACAAAGTTCGAGAAGATGACATGTTCTGTTTGGTTTGTTGCAAAAAGTTAAGCTGCTGTGTACTTTAGCAACAATTATCCTGTGGTGTGTGTTTAGTCACAGTGAAGACTGGAAGCCCACCCACATGTTATCCTGCCTTCAGGTCATTTACTGTCTATACAGTTTGGTTTCCTATATCCAATGCCCTAGAATCAGTGCTTTAACCTTCATCTCTCTCCTCCCCATCTCTATCCCTAGTCCTCCCTCCCTATGTAACTCTGAGGAGCTTCTTCTTCTTCCTCTTCCTTTTCCTAATGCTCCTCTTCTGGTGTTTTGAGACAGGATTTCTCTGTAGCTTCGGTACCTGTGCTGGAACTCGCTCTGTAGATTAGGCTGGCCTTGAACACACAGTGACCCACCTGTTGCTACCTCCTGAGTCCTGGGATTAAAGTATGTGCCTCCAACATCATACTTCTTTTATTTTAAAGGGGGATTTAGAGGTAGGGTTACGTTTTGTAATAATCCTGGCTGTCCTGGAACTCCCTTTCAAGCCCAGGTTGACTTGAACTCAAGAGATCTGCCTGCCTCTGCCTCTCTACCCCAGAGTGCTGGGATGAAAAGCATGTCTGGCTCATCACCCATTCTTCAAGGTGCTCCCCTAAAGGCAATGTCTTTTCTATTAATCTTCAGCTTCCAGGACTAGAATGAATGATGTTCTCTGAGGATCTAAATAGGTTTGTTAGACAGACAGACCCGAGCTCTTTCAATAGACACTTTATTAGAGGTTTTAGCTTGTAATGAAGACAATCAGGCAAGTGGGGATGGTGTCAGTATTATCAGTGATGGCAAGTCTAATAGTTAAAGCCCTTGTACTGCTTGTTGATAGAACCCTGGAGAAGCAGATGGCGGCCTGTCGGTCACAGTTGCAGATGAAGTCCTCACAGACATTGTTTTTGTCTTCAGAGAAACAAGAAAGGAAGTTGAGTGGAGCCCATGACTCTGCTCCCTATGATTCTTAACAAAAAGAAATTGGTGGTCCTCCCACAGACGCAGACTTATCCTTGAGAGACAAAGCAAACTAAAGTATATTGGGTAGCCCAAATTACTAGAACATACATATAATAAAAAATTAGTTGATATGGAGCTGAAAAGATGGCTCAGTTGGTAAAGTTGTTGCCGTACAAGCATGAGGGCCTGATCTAGGATGCCAAGAGCCCATTAATAAAGCAAGGTCTGGGCCTGTAGTGATGGCTCAATGGTAAAGAGCACTGATTGCTCTTGTAGAGGACCCAGGTTCAATTCCCAGCACACACATGGCAGCTCACAACTGTGTATAGCACCACTTCCAGGGAATCAGCAACACTCAAGCTAATGTATATAACATAAAATTAAAAAATAAATAAAAAGCAAGGTGTGTTTGGGGCATCTGTAACTATACTGAGGAAGTGGGGAGCACAGATCCCCAAAACTTGAGGTAAGTCAGGTGGGCTAAGGTGAGTATCCTCTTTAGTGAGAGACCCAATCTCTAAAGACATGGTGGAGAGTGACTAAGGAAAACAGAGGATGCCAACTTATTCCTATATATAAAAGTAAATAAACCTGTGTGCTTCATCCTAAAACAAGGTAAACTACAAATATCAAATACCACATATAAAATCATATGCTTTAAGACATTCCTCCTGTTTCCACTTCCCAAGTGCTGGGATTGGAGGTGTGCACAGCCACACTCAATGTATGGGTTCTGGAGGTGGAACCGAGGGCTCTGTGCATACAAGACAAGCTCTCTAGCAACTGAGCTGTATTTCCCGGGGCTCTGAATCCTCACCTGTAAAATGGGAATGGTAAATCTTTCCCTGCATAGGTGTTTAGTCCAGTGTTGGGCTTATAGACAATGATGCAGCTTCCAATAGTTTAGCTAATATGGAATCAATAAACATATCAGCTACTAGGACAGATTTTGGGCAGGCAAGATGGCTCAGGGAATAAAGGCACTTGCCACCAAGTCTGAGCCCGAGTTGCATCCCTAGGACTCAGGAAACAACAGACTCCTGCTTGCTGTCCTCAGAGCTCCACACTTGTGCTGTGGCACAGGCATGCCCTACCAGAAATACATAAAATCTTTAAATGTTTTTTTAAAAGAGGCTTTGGAATGATGTCGACCTTTGTTTCAGAACCAAATGCTATAACTTCTAAGCTGGGTGACCTTGGGCAAGTGGCCCATTCTTCCTCAACTTCCTCATCAACATCCTTGTCTATATGTTACTATTTACCTGATAAGGTTGTTGTGAGGTCAAATGAGACCAAGAAATGACCACTAAATGGTGGCTGTCCTTGTTACTTCCCTGCCCCTTCCAAATCCACTGAGAGCCAAGCAGAGTCCAGATATCCTGTAGGGTACACCTACCACTGCAGGTGATCTCACTTCCAGAGCATGAGTATGAATAGGAGGTGGTGTAGGGGTTATTTATGAGTTGTTTGCATCTTCCCAGGCCCTTGACCTGATCATAGCAGTGCTCCTGAGTCTGGCAGCACCTGGAGAGAGGAAGGAACAGCTAAGAGAGGAGCATGGACCCACAGGAGGTCAGTTCTCAATTGCAGTCTTCCTCAAACATGCCGGGATGGTTTAAAGATGTTGTTCCAGAAGAAATGGTCCTGAGGCTTGAGAATTTCTGATATCTATTAAGCATATATTTACTGAAAAAGCAACTTCTGTGGAGTGTGGTGCTGTCTGCCATTAGTCCCAGTACTTGGGAGGCAGAGGCAGATTGATCTCTGAGTTTGGGGTCAACCAGGGATACATAAGTGAGACCTTTTCTTAAAACAAGTGATTTTTTTAAAACAAAGCTTCAGGAGTCCTGGGATTCTCTACTCTGGTCTTATTCCCCCATTCCAAACCCCATCCAGAAGTTCCCTGAGACCCCAGCCCCAGTCCTCCTATTCCAGATCTCACGCCTCAGAAAGCCCACTAAGGGTTAGCTCCTCCCCAGAGCCACTCAAGACCACAACTAAAGGGTACTTAAGACCTGGCCCCTAGACTCATGGTGTGATTTCTCTCCTGCCTTCCCCAAGAGCCAACCAGGAGCTGCTTAGCTCTGCTGATTAAATCTGGCTTTATTTATTTGACTTATTACATTGGCAGAAAAACCCACTAACCAGGGTATTTTCAAAATACTTATCAAGTAATACAGTGAAATTATACACTGTGAAGCTGTGATAACTGTTTAAAGCCAAGACTGACACTTTGATGTTGACTGTGATAGCCATGCCCTACTCTGGTGCCTGAGGCCATCATTGCCTGCTATTTAGATCTCACACATTCTGCTTTCAGGACTCACTTATATACATGGTCCTCTTGACTGATTTCATTACACGAGAAGAGGGGTAAATACATCCTGAACATGGTGATGCACACCTTTAATGTCAGCAGTCAGGAGGCAGAGGCTGCAAGATCTGAATTCAAGGCCAGCCTGGTCTCCAGAGAGAATTCCAGGACAACTAGGGCTACACAGTTTGGTGAATATGCATGTCTCCTATTCATGCCTCGTGACAGTCTCTGCTTGTATCTTGTCCCTACCCCAACCCAGACACTCCAGTGTCCCACCAGATGAATCACTCACCTGTCTAAGTCATCCATTGGGGTGTCTGAGCCCCCAGTGCCACAGTAGCAGGCATAGTCATTGTTCGCCAACAAGGGATGACTCCTGGGGATGATACACTTGATCATATTGTGGAACTGCCACACAGGCTGAGGGCTGATGCTCTGTGCAGTTGTGCCTGCTGTAAGAATGCACAGCACATTCCATCAATCCCACTTGGCTTTACCAGGGGTCTGATTCCTGCCTGCTAGCTTCCTTCTTGACTCCTAACAGCTGCTGCATTGGGAAAGCAGTAAATAGAGGGGTGTGTGTGTGTGTGTGTGTGTGTGTGTGTGTGTGTGTGTGTGTGTGTGTATGTGTCTGTGTGTGTGTGTCTGTGTCTGTGTGTCTGTGTTTGTGCTTGTGCTTGCTGGAAGACAAGTAAGCAAGCACACACTTGGGAGCACTCATAAATGTCATGCTACACATGAGGAAGTCAGAGGATAGCTATAGTGAGGTGTTTTTCTCCTTCTACTATGTGGTCTTGGAGACCAAACGCTAGTCACCAGGCCTGAGCAGGAAGGTGTCTACCTATTTGAGACAGTGAGTTGCCCTGTAATCCAGGCTATTCTCCAACTCTTTGGCAACCCTGTGTTCTCAGCCTCCCAAGTGGTAGGATTATAAATAAACACACTGTACCAGGCTGGGCTGAGTCTCCAAGATTAAGTTCTATGCACATTGCCTTTTGCCTTACTTGCCTTCTCATTTCTCACTGTCAGAACAGACAGCTGCCACGCTGTGAGATGCCCTGTAGTCCCTGTGTTGAGGAACTGAGAACACTCTTCAGTCAGCAGCCAGGGATCTCTTAGTTCAATAACCCCACAACCCAACTGTCTCTTGAGTGTGGAACCTGCCCCACCCCTACTCAAGCCTAGGTGAAACCCCAGCCTTAGCCAGCAGGGGGATTCATCACAGTTCTAGCTGAGACCTTGAGTCAGAGATACAGCCAACACATGCTTATTGTTTTACACTGGAGAATTAGAAGGAATCTGTTGTATGGCCATGCACAGCAATATACAAGGTTAATGGTCAACTTATCATGTGTAATGTTAGCATTTGCCATAAGAAACTATTCACCATCTGAGGAGTAGGTAAATAAGCCAGGATTTAGTCTACAGTGAGATACTTGGTCAACATTAAAATGAAAAAGAAGCGAGGTACAGTGAACACACACTGGGTAATCCCAGCACTGTGAAGGCAGATGCAAGAGGATCAGAAGTTCAAGGTTCCCAGATTTTAATCCCAGAACTCTGGACAGACAGTCAGGTGGATATTTGAGATCAAAGCCAACCTTATCTATAGAGTGAGTTCCAGGACAGACAGGGCTACACAGAGAAATCCTGTCTTGTAAAATGAAAAGAAGAAGAAGGAGAAGGAGGAGAAGGAGAAGAAGAAAGAATTGCAGACTCCAGCCAGGCATTCATGTAATACTAATTCTTGGGAGGTTGAATCAAGTCTGGGCAATAATGTTGAATTGGAGGACATCCTCAACTGCACAATAACATTGTGCCAAACATAATAATAAGGGCTAGAGAGATGGTTCTGCAGTCAGGAGCATTTTCTGAGTTTGTGTAGGACCCAGGATCTGTTCCAGCACCCACATGTAAGTCATGACTGTCTGACTCCAATTTTGAAGGTTCAAACCCCCCTTCTGTCCTCTGTAGGCACTGCTCACACATGGTTCATGACAAAACACAGGTAAAATAGTCATACACATAAAATAAAATAAGAGTATATATTTTTTAAAAGGATAAGAAGAAGAAGCAAATTGCCAGGGCAGCTTAGCACCAGAGAAATGGGTGCCAGGGCAATATGGCAGAGCCGGAGGGCCTTTCTTTGCTTGTGTAGGTGAATGTAGTGGACTTTTCTAAGGAATCATCTCAGTTCAGACCTAGAGGCTAAAGATACCAGCTGTTGAGGACAGGGTGCTGAGGAGGGAGCCCCAACCCAGAGGCCATTAGATACCAATGGGACCCCAAACTAGAACTTCAGGTGTGACCAGTGGGCATTAGCATAGAAGACAAGGGAGATGGTGGGGCACTCAGAGGGGACAAGGGTCCTACCTGTGAGCAGAGTGACCAGAAGAAGGAGTTTCATCTTGAGTTAGGGGAGGACTCAAGTGACTTCTCTCTGTATAGTCCTGTAGCTGTGCTCTGACAGTGTCCAGTCAACACACAAGGCCTGTGACTACTGTGTGTGAAGCACAAAAGTAGAATGTGTCCACCCTCACAGACAGTTGCAGCTGACAGAGCTACTGTAGATGGTGGCAGAGCATGAATCAGCACTGTCACAGAGGCAAAGAGAAAGGGCTGGCTCAATGCCCTACAGCAGCTCAAATGCAGTGACTTACAAAGTGCCAAGTCCTGTCCTCCATGGATACTTTGAGGTCACAAGAAGATATAGACATTGCTCCTGGGGTTGGGTCTGAGGGATGCTGACAGTGACATGTGGTCCAAGGTAGAAGTATCTGGCCCCAGCAATCCTCCATGTTAACTGTATAAACAAAGTGCTAAGTCTGTTCCAAGACCTGACACAGCCTTTGAGGTAAATCCATTTACAAATTCCATCTTTAATTAATCAGCTAATTGATTAATTAATGTGTGTTCGAGCACACACACATGTGGAGGTCAGGGGACAACTCTGGTGTCAGTTCTCTCCTTCTACTTTTATTTGGGTTTTAGAAATTGAAGTCAGACCTACAGGCTTGCATTGTAGGAAGCCTCTTACTCCATTTAAACACTGGGAATGTGGCCAGATGTTGTTGTTGGTGCATGCCTTTAATGTCAGCACTCAGGAGGCAGAGGCAGACCACTATCTGAGTTCCAGGCCAGACTATCTACAGGAGTGTCCCAAAACAGCTAGAAATATACAAAGTAACCCTGTTTCAAAAACTATTTTTAAAAATGAAAGAAAAAGACAGCAAATGCCCAGCAGCTGCGCCCACAGGCCAATATAAAACAGGCAATCCCTTCAGCTGAGGCTCTCCCTCCCCAGTGTGTGAAGCTGACAATCAACCATTACAGGCACTGGAGAGATGGCTCAGCACTTAAGAGCACTTTCTGCTTTTGCTGAGGACCAGAGTTCAGGTTTTACTGACAACATAGTGACTGGTGAATAATGTCTGCTGGCCCAATGCCCTGTTGCCTCTGCACTTTGCCATCTCTCATGTACCATCTAACTTAGCCCTAGCACCTCCTTTTCCCCACTTCTCACCTCTTCCCTGGATAAAAACCATGTAGGGGTGAGTTGAGTTGGTTGTCTCCACACTCAGGATCCCCCTGTCCTTCCAGCAGGACTCTGGACAGCCACTGCAAGTACTATCACTCACTGCACCTGCGCAGGCCCTGGCTGCACCTTTTTCTCACTAGGCCTGAACTTGGGTGGGGCCATGCCTGAGCTTTGGGACACAAGTGGGGTGGAAAGGGGGGGGGACTGGGCAGCTGTTCACTAAAGGAAATGAGAGACTGAGAACCAGGGAGCCTTAAACCAGCCAATCTGGTTGGCCAGGAAACCAGAGATTAACATGGCTTTATCTACAGGTTTACTTAAAATAAAAGTTAGAGGAGATGACATGTTCTCTTTTGTTAGATGGGAAAAGTTAGGCTGCTATGTACTTGAGCAGAACAATTATCCTGTGTTGTGTTTAGGCACTGTGACAACTTGAAGGCCACCAGGATGAAAGAAGTGCCTTCATGTCATTTACTGTCACTCCAGTTTGGTTTCCTGTACCCTGCTTCCTATGAGGAGCACACAGCAGAGGCTCTTTGTGTCCAGTAGTATTTTGTTGTTGTTTTCAAGATAAGGTTTCTCTGTAGCTTTGGACCCTATCCTGGAACTGGCTTTGTAGACCAGTGGCCTCAGATCCACATAGATCCACGTAACTCTGTGTACAGAGTGCTGGGATTAAAAGTGTGGGCCACATCCCACATGAAGGGATACACTCTGGTCCTGGGCACATGGGGAAGGGCCCAGGCCCAGCACAGGAAGATTTGGTGGACTTTGCAGAGCCCCTGTTGAGGGCCCTACCCTGCCTGGGGAGTGGTGGGTGGATGGGGTAGGCTGGGAGTTGGGGAGGAGGGATGGGGGTGAGGCGAGGGAGAGGGAGAAGGGACTTACATGTGAAACAAGCTTGTTCCCTAACTAGAACTAATAAATAAATTTTTAAAAAAAGTGTGGGCCACCAGCACCCCCAGAAGTTCAGTATTTTTAGGTATAAGATGTTGCTTCTGTGCCCATGTGACACTTCATCTTTCTCTCTTCTCTCCTATTCTTCCTCCCTATCTTTTTGTTTTTAATTATTGAGATTGGATTTCTCTGTGTAGCTTTGTAGACCAGGCTGGCCTCGAACTCATAGACATCCACCTGCCTCTGCCTCCCCAGTGCTGGGATTAAAGGCGTGTGCCACTACTGCCCAGCTACCTCTTTATCTTTTCTTTTTTTTTATTTTTCAAGACAGGGTTTCTCTGTGTAGCTTTGGAGCCTATCCTGGCACTTGCTCTTGAAGACCAGGCTGGCCTCGAACTCACAGAGATCCACCTGCCTCTGCCTCTCAAGTGCTGGGATTAAAGGAGTGCGTCATCAACGCCCGGCGGCCCTCTTTTATATTCTTCCCTCCCCTCTTCTCCTTGACGTGCCCCCTACCCCTGTATGTCTCAGACGTGCTTCTTCTTCTTCTTTAGATCTTTGAGACAAGGTTTTTTTGTTTAATAGTCCTGGCTGTCCTGGAATTTGCCTTTCAGATCATGTTTGCCTTGAACTCAAGAAGAGATCTGTCTACCTCTGACTCTGCTTCTTCCTCTGCATCCCAGAGTGCTGGGGTGAAAGGCATGGCCAGGCCCATAATCCACACCTCAAGGTGCTTGCTTCCTGGAAATATCTTTCCCATTAATCTCAGTTTCCAGGGGTAAAGAGAATGATGCTCTCTGAGGATCTAGTTATGTTTGGTAGGCAGAGAATATAATCACCAAAGCTGAGATTTTCCTATAGGCTCTTTATCAGAAGGCACAGTGTGTAGTGAACACAACCAAGCAGGCAGGGGTGGTGTAGGCAGTAACTGAGGTGACAAGTCTAACAGTGAATGACTTTGTTGTTCTTGTCCAGAGCCTTGGAGAAGCAGATGGCGGCCTGTTGGTCACAGTTGCAGATGAAGGTCTCATAGGTGTTGTTTTTTTCTGCAGAGCAGAAGAAAGGAAGTTGAGTGGATTCCATGACTCTGCTCCATATGGTTCATAAGCAAAAGACATCGGTGACCCTCCCACAGGCGCAGACTCAGGATTGAGAGACAAAGCACACAAAAGGACATTGGGGTTGCCCAAATTGCTGGAACAACCTTACAATAAAAAAATTAGTTGTTATGGGGCTGGGAAGGCAGCACAATTGGTGAACCAGTTGCCATACAAGCATGAAGGCCTGAGCTAGGATACTCAGAGACCATGTAAAAACCAAGGTGGGCTTGGGGCATCTGTAACTTTATTGGGAAGTGGAGAGTATGGATCCCCAAAACTTGTTGGTCCATCAGGCTAGCTAAAAATGAATGTCCTGTTTAGTGAGGGACCCAGACTCTAAAGACATGGTAAAAAATGACTGAAGATGACACTGGATGCCAACTCATTCCTACACATAAAAATAAAGAAACACAGATATTTGGTTCTAAAATCCAAGAAAAGTACAAATATTAACTACCACTTCAAAAATCATATGAGTTAAGACAATCTTTCTGCCTCCACCTCCCAAGAACTGGGATTGCAGGCGTGCATCATGATGCTCAATGTATGGGTTCTGGAGGTGGAACCCAGGGCTCTGTGCATACTAGACAAGCTCTCTAGCAGCTGAGCTATATTCCATTTCTCTGAATCCTCACTTGTAAAATGGGAATGATAAATCTTGCCCTGCATAGGTGTTTAGTCCAGAGTTTGGCTTACAGTCAACGACACAGCTTTCAGTTGTTTAGTAAATATGGAATCAGTATAACAAGCAGCTAATAGGAGAGGCTTTGGCTGACAAGATGGCTCAGGGAATAAAGAGGGCACTTGCTGCCACGTCTGAATCTGAATTCTATCCCAAGAACTCACATGGTTCAAGGGCAAAATAGACTCCTGCATGTTGTCCTCAGAGATCCACAGGTGTGTTTTCACATAGGCATAACTTCCTCACAATTATGTAAAATCTTTAACTTCTTTGAAAAGGACATTGATATGATGTAGCTCTTTGTTCCAGAACCATGTGACATCACTTCTAGCCTAGGTCACCTGGGGCATCTGGACCAGGCTTCCTCATCTTCTGTATCAGGGAACTCATCTATATCTTAGTATCCACCTGGTAAGACTGTTGTGATGTCAAATGATGAAGCTAATGACCACTAAATGGTGACTGTCCTTGTTACTTCTCTGCCCCTTCCAAATCTACAGAGGGCCAAGCAGAATCCAGAGGTTCCTGAGGGTAAACCTACCACTGAAGGTGACCTCATTCCCAGAGCAGGATTATGAGTAGGCACTTTTTATGAGCAATCCACAGTTTCCTAGGTTATAGTCCTGAGAGTAGCAGTTGTCCGGAGTCCTGAAGAACCTGGAGAGAGGAAGGAACCCCTGAGGAAGGAGCATGGAGCCCCAGGAGTTCTCACCTGTAGTCCTTCTCAAACATGTGAGGATAACTTAATCACAATGTTTCTGAAGAAATGTTCCTAAGGCTTGAGAATCTGTGATTTCTATTAGTACACATTTATTGAAAGGAACTCCTGTGGAGTGTCATCAGCTTTGGTCTTTAATCCTAGTACTGAGAAGCAGAGGGAGTTGGATCTCTGAGTCTGGGATCAGGCAGGGATACATAAGTGAGACATTGTCTCAAAAAAGTGATTTTTTAAAAAACAAAGCTGTAGGAGTATAGTGAAAGTAAATATTCTGCAGTTTTGATGACTTTTTAAAGACCTGGCTGACACTTTTTGTTTGTTTGTTTGTTTGTTTGTTTTAAAGAGTGGGTCTCTGTGTATCTCTGGCTGTGCTGGAACATGCTCTGTAGACCAGGCTGGCTTGAGCTCACAGAGATCCCCAAGGCTGACACTTTGTTGGTAGCTATGATGGTTCTCTGTGCCCTAGTCTGGT